GCAACCGTGCCAAGACTGAGCGTCCTAGCTACGTGCGCGCATGCTTGGTGGTATTGGGGGGAGTGGGGGAAGCAACGAATGCAACAGGGTTGCCAACAGCCGCACGAAAAATTACCCAGTGCTTTGGAGACCTTACTTTTGGAATCAGCTACGTATTTCAAGGTAGGGACCAATGGTTTTCTCTTTTGAACATCATAATTAACCTTTGGGTTCCATAAAAGGCAAGGAATTTGTTGACCAGCTAAGTGACTCTTAGCATTTCAAGGACTGCTATACAAAGTTAACCAGAACAAGCAACATGACATAAGTCAAATGTTGGGGCAGTAAAAGAGCCAGCACTCAGAAGTATTTTGTTCTTCACTGTCAAAATATTTCCTGTCTTAATGTTTCCTAATGATTGTATGCAAATTATGTATTGTTTATTAGTTTATTATTAGTGATTTTGTGTCAGCTTTATATGTTATATAGCACTTCAAAAGATGAGGAGGTAATTGTAAATGTTCAGGTAGACATAAGACAAAATGAAGTTATGTTCTGCAGGAACTTAACCCTGAAAGAACTGCAGTCAGCAAGAAAATTAGATACCCCCTGAATGTGAAGCTGGGTCACTAATGCCGACATCATGATGTATAGTGTGGTTTATGTGATCAGTGTTATCAGTGTTTGTGTATTACAAACTGACAGCTTTTGCCATGGAACAGCTTGTGCTAATTGGCTGTCATACACCCACAGAAATGTGACCTTGCTAGTTGATAACCTGAATGCAGAATTCATCTGACTGTTAGTTAAGAATTCAGTTCCTGTTTCATAGAAGATACTGCATCCGCAGTATGAAGATGAAATGGTTAGTGGTGTACAGGGGAATACTCACTGTAAATTCTGAGAATCATTGTGAAACATGTAAATTCACTCTGGACAAAATGTGGAAGATGCGGAGTTTTTAAAATATAAAAACAGGTGGTGCACACAGTAACCACTAACTCCACCCACGTTTCTTTCTAAAAGTAAAATGTATTAAAAGTAAGATCTCTGAAATAGTAAGTCTGTAATAGGAATCATTAAGTCTAACACTGAGAAGGATGATAATTAATACTAACAAACAAATAGTGTTACCGCTCGGTCTCCCTTTGGTTTCTGTTGTTGGGTGGGGTTCTGGTAGGCAATGAAATTCTTTCTTGGGGTCGTTATACGGGTCTTGGATCATGAGGAGACAAAGGGTAATAATGTTACGCCAACACACATTACATTTACTCACTGTTTAATATTATCATATGTTGAAACACGTCTGTCCGTAGGAATGACACGCATTACATTTACTCACTGTTTAATATTATCATATGTTGAAACACGTCTGTCCGTAGGAATGACCGAATGAGAACTCTTCCTAGAAGCTCGGACTATATCGTTGAGTTTTGGGACATAAATTCTCCCACCCTCGCAGATATATTCCATCATTGCTTCTGATTCGGTCATTCAAAAGGAAGGCGGTATTACAAGTTTAAACCCTCCAATACCCTTCTTAAAAATTACACCTTTGAAACCGCTGGTCCAGCGATATTCTCAATGATTCTTGCGACCTCGCTAGACTGCAGCTGCAAAGTGTAACATTGCAAACGCTATGCGGCATCTTTTACTCATAAGATATATATATTTGCTTCACATAACAGCGACACTATGGCGCCACTATTACGTGCCACAGGGATATAAGTGTCAGTTGTTTATAAGCTGCTTACTCCAAGTCTTGCACTTAACAGTTCAATTTGAGCACTAAATTAAATTGAACGACTTCAGTAGGAACATTAAATCATTTCATGAGAGAAATAAGAACATGAAGTTGGCATTCAGATTCAAAGAGGGACCAGATATGAGGTTATAAGTTAAGATTTTCTCTGAATTTGTGACCTTTTTATTGTACCCTCTAGTACTACCTGATTACAGAAATTGAACATGACCTTAATCTTGCATATAGCAATCACATACTTTATTTTTACTTATTGAAAGCTTTGTATGTGTTTGCTTGACTAACAGATGAACTGACTCATCACCCAAAGGTTTGTTATATGATGTTTTACAGTCCAAGTTTCTGGCTCTGTTCTCTAAATGCAGGGTGTCCAAGAATGATTTTAAACAACTTTATTAAGAAAATAAACAGCCAGATGATCAACAAAGGGAACTCAGGTTTAAGTGCAGGAAATTGGGAAAGATCTGGAAAAACTCTTTGAATAGCTGTTTCATGTGGTGAAAACTGTACTTTCCTAGTTCTGTTTTTTTCTGAACAAAAAACTTTAAAATGTGTGCACTCTTTATGGGATATCCTGTATGTGAAACTGGAAATACAATATGTTGATAATATATTGTTTTGGGCAGGTCCTTCCCTGACCATTTCAATGAGAGTACTATGTTCAATGGTGGACAGCAGGCCCGAAAATTGAAGGAGGAGTTTCGGCAACATTTCCGTAACACCTCCCGCATCATGGATTGTGTCGGTTGTGACAAGTGTAAGCTGTGGGGAAAACTGCAGGTAAGACAGTAGTGTGTTTCTTCTTGCATCCTTGAATATTATAAGGCACTTGGTGAAATTACATTTAGTTTTTTACATGTGAAAGTTAATACTTTCATAATGTGACACTGCTCCATTTAGGATAGAACTCCTCAGCTGGATGGAGGTACAGTAGAATATGCTGAGTCACTTGCTACTCACTCACTCACTCACTCACTCACTCACTCACTCACTCACACACACACTCATCACTCACGCACTCATCACTCACTCACTCACTCACTCACTCATGGAGCTGAGCCCTTCTGGAGGAGCCACCAATTCTGCAGCTACTCAAGAATTTCCCAGCATTTTATGGAACCCGAAAGTCATTTGCTACTCATTTCAAAATTTTATCTTATATCTGTCAGAAGTAACACCTTGTGAGATTATGTGTTTATACCCTATGCAATTTGCGTTTTGTTAAAAAATACAAGATTTCAAAGAACAGAGTGAGTCAACCAAGTTCTACTTCAAATTAGGCAAAAATGGCATAGAAACGTATGAGATGTTAAAACTCAGTTTTGGAGATAAGACAATGAGTAGAACTCTAGCTTTTGATTCGTTTTCCAGTGACATTACTTAATAATGCTGAGTGTTTCGGACATCTGTCCAAGAGCAGTGTGGATAAAAATGTGGCATGAATCAAGGAATTTGTTCATGAAAACAGATGAGTCACTGTTCATGACTTGGCTGATGAGGAGGGAATCTCAGTTCGGTCATGCCTTGGATTCTGAACATGTGATGGACTGCCACAGAATTCGTGCATCCGCTGCTAACTGATGAGCAAAAGCTGAATTGTGTGAATATGTACCAGGACCTTCAGGAAAGAGATGCACACAATTCCCTGTGTGACTTTATCTTTTTTATGGAACTCCAGTTGGCTCAGAAGAGGAAATTGAATAACATCATGATGGAAGAACAATTGAAGGCAGCATTTACTGATTTCAAAACACATACTTCTGCAAATGCTTCCAGCGGTGGTGCAATTGATGGGCTTAGTGCATAAGATGACAAGAGATGAACTTGGAATAGAATATAAATATGGTTGTCTGTAAGAAAAAATATACAATCCAGAAATTATTATATCACACCACATGCAAACAAACAATGAATGTAAGACTATTGTACAGGAGTAATATGTGTCTGAACAGTTAATGCTTGAGTTGTTGGTTGGTTCAGGGATCTGTACTGTGATCCAGTGCAATGTAAAATGAGTGTGCTAATTTATTTGTCTGTGTGTTCAGATCCATGGGCTAGGCACAGCGCTGAAGATTTTGTTCTCAGGCAAGTTCGATGGAATGGATCCTGCTAGCCAGAATCTGACACATGTTAACAAGAGTAAGTTCCAGCTAGAGAGAAGTGAGATTGTCGCACTGATAAATGCATTTGGAAGGTGAGTACCATGTCTGTTGTCAGTTTTGTCTGAAATCATTTAGGGAAGAGCATAGTTTGTCATAAGTATAAACATAACAGCTACTCAAACTCTATCTTCAGTAGAGCATTTAGAGGGAGTATTGAAATATGGGTTAATGTAAGTTTTAACATGCCGATAATCTAAAAGTTAGGCCTCTCCCCACTAGGGAGGGATTAAACCAGGCCTGCCATTATCCGATCTGGACGATGCTGATTTTATATTGTAACGTGTTTCGAAGACGCCGTAGAGATGGTTAATTGGTTTATTCAACAACCTGCAAGTAACGGCTACAATTAATTATGACAATGTTGTGGGGTTTCACAATTTATAACCCTATTCGCAAATCAAATCATGCTATTGTCAATAGACTACACGTTTCACAGTACGGGAGCTATACAAGTGTCACTGTGTTGCACACTCCCAATTAATTCTCAGTTATCACAAACTGTCACTGATTATCACACTTTTACTCATTCACTGCTGACTGGTGAACTGTTGATCACACACTGGCTCTCGCTTGCTGCTCAGCCGGCTTATATGCCGTTCGCTGTTACCGCTTACCCGCGTCAACAGCGTCGTTGCATGCCATGTAACAGTGTCTGCGTATAACCTAGCAACGCTGTTACCTCATGCCTTGTTACATCACCGCTTTTGACTCGCGTTGCATAGCTACCAGGACGCTGGGACTCAGCTAACTTCGGCTCCGCTCGGCTCACTTCGGCTCTGCTCGGCGCGTCAGCTCCGGGGGGGGTCCAGCTAGCGCGACACGTCACAATATTGAATGTAATTCACGTGTATATTAAGAAAGGGTACCACAGTGTAAAATATTGGATATTTTCAAGGCTACAGGATCCAAACAATTGAAAATGTTGTTAAATGAAGATTAAGTAAAGTAAGACTGCTTCGTAGCTTTTCCCATTTGTAACTTATTCAGTTCAAGTGAAACAAGTCTGACTGCTTCGCAACTTCTATTTGTAACTTATTCAATCTATGTGAACCACTTCTGACTACACTGGTATTGGCTGAGCAGTATGCTTGGCAGTAAAAACTAAGAAATAAATCATTATTATATTATCTTTGTCCCTTAACCCAGTGCACTTATATAGTTAAAGAATTAGTTACATCAGGGATATGTTGGTGTATAGATAAAGTTCTTGGCTCTCATGCTGTATGTACCTCATGGGTTTGAGGATGTATGGATCCAGTGTGGTTATTTGCCTTCCCCCATCATTTGTCTGCTTCAGAGCCAGAATTTTATGACTGTGGGAAATACTAAGCCCTGAAATTTTTCAGGTCAGGAAATAATGTTCCATCTTGTGAAAGTGCCTTCAGCTAGAATTGCTTCTGCTAGACTAGAAATGGTTACTGATATATTGGGTTTTTGGACTTTATCCATCGTCCTGTTTTTTAAGATAACTAATAAAAACACTAATGTTAGTGTAACCTATCCCTAAGAAGTGCCTGGCTGGCACGTAAGGCAATTTTGGAGGTCCGTCGACTATTGAAGGGCGTCTTTACAGAGAAGGCTTTGGGGATGATACCCTGAGATTTGCATCTCCTGAGGAAAGTTATATGATTGAGGGTTTTCGCTAACTGAATTTTCAGGTGTTCTAATTTTCTAAAAGAAGGGTAAATACCGGGTCCATACCGGTTCTACAAGTAGATACTAAAGGATTCTGATGATGGTGTATAACACGCTGATATATTGGGTTTTTGGACTTTATCCATCGTCCTGGATCGTCCAGGACGATGGATAAAGTCCAAATGGTTAGAATTAATTATATTTTTATGGCCCGTTAGAGATGTATACATTATGCTCATTACCTTCAAAACAATGTGCCAGACTATGAGTAATATAAATGTCAGGATAATGCAACTAAAATTGTGGTAACTGAACATGAAGGCTCAACACCACAAATACCAGAGCCTGCCACTGGACATGATCCTGAGCAATTTTTCTCGATTTTCTGTCCTTGCAACCTGTTATCCAAAGACTGATCCTAATGTTCTCTAATCCCTTCTTTAATCTTCCAAGAGCTATTTCCTGAGTAGCTTTCCTGCTAGAATTCTGTAGGCATTCATCATGGCCTATATTCTATCTGCATGCCAAGATCAAGAGCTCTTTAAGAATTCTCTAATGTTTGGTTGGTGTTCTCTAGGTTCACAACTGACCTTCAGACCAAATATGGCCATGTTGCCATGGGAGAATGTAATGGTAGAATTCTTTGTTGTAGATTATCCACGAGCATACATGAGCTGGAGCAGTTCCGAGATATGATGAGGTAACTTAAGGCATGTGGCAGGGCTACCAGCCCTTAAACTACACATCACATATGAACCAGAAAGAAAGGTCTGTTAGCAGTATAGCGATGGTGGAGGGTGTTAGGCCTCGCAGAGAGCTGATGTTCCTGTGATCTCCATTTGGTTTGGTTTGGTTTGCTGGATAGTTTCCCAGATGCACTCTCTATTAATAAGCTTGGTTGTTACTGCAGGATGATCCATTTAAAATGCATCCCAAACTGCAACAGTAAATGCAAGCTTACAGGTGACATCAGTATAACAGGACAGATGAATTGTTTGTTTTTATTGTTATGCATGGGAAATTAGATCACATCTTTAACAGTAGAACCTGAAAATGTCCACCACCACCTCAGAGACAAGCATTTGCCAATTTTGGTGTGTAGCAACCTGTACACTAGTGTGTTTTAGTTCCTTCATGCTTTGCAGAGGTTGGTGTGGCCAGAGACCATGCCCAACAATGTGATCATCAGCAATAATGCTGTTATTGTATTTGCAGTGTGGGCTAAAACTAGCTGTCCCTTTCATTTTTTCAACAGCTTTCCAACTGCCAAAACTCTTTGAGAATGGATTTGTTGCCTGTTTTAAACACTTTTTGTGTCTAGAAATTTTTTACCAGATGGTATATTGTTGTCTTATTGAGTACTTCCTTGCCGGGGTGTGCATAATTAAATGTTTCACTAATGGCAGCAGACATTTTCAGCGCTTTTTAATGTTTGAGGATGAACACATGTTTTGCTTGTGAAAACATCCATGCTTGCAACTGCAGAGCTTCTGCACAAGTGGTAGCAACATGATGACATTGACTTGATTGTTTCGAGAAAGGTTGGGATGGCCCATTAGGTGAGGGGAACAGCTTCTGATTCCATTTCTGTGCTGTAGAGCATGATTATTGTTTGGGTTGAATGGAATTTTAAATGGTGCTTCCTGCATATCACATCATAGATATAATTTTTATCTTGGATATTTTTGCAGTAATGCAGTGATGTTACACTTAAATGACAGCTGTGTATTAATAATATACCACACTAAATGTTTTTGGTCCAGACAGTTTTCTAAATGGATGAACAGGGTGATTAACACACTCAGATTTAATCTTTAGCCTGACCTAAATGCTATGTGATTGTTTACTTGGGACTCTCATTTCATTCAGTTTGTTTTAAACAACTGATATACCTCAGTGTTCATCACGTTTGGGTTGCACATCTGGGATCTGTTCTGTTGTAATTGCAAAATTTCTTATATTAGAGATGTGTTGTATAATAATGATTTCCAGTTATTTTTAATTTATTGTATCCTTGGAGGTGCATGAATGAGATAATGTCACTCTTTAGTTGGTAGAAATTTAAAACTGAATTCTCTGTGATATAGTTGTTAATGCAATGAATGCATAAAAGTATAACAGTGTTTGTATATATGATCGGATACTTTATTATTACTTTCATAATTAACTCTTTTATTCCTTTCTACAGATAATGCGCCTTTCTTTGGCACACTTCTAAAATGCCTTACTGTTGACATTTTGATTTCTAAGATAGTTTTGTAATATTTACAAATGCATGGTGCAGTACGTAACCAGTATGCACTACATGAATGTTTGGTCATACTGACATTTGATTAAAAGCAGTTGTACAGTTCAAAATTAATTTAAGCCGAATGGTATGTCAAAGGAACTTTGCTGAATACCGGATAATGGCAATACTATTCTGACATTGTGAGGAACTGGAGTGTTTTACAAATCAGAGAACATTTCTTTTGAATATGGTTATTATAGTTTATAGTGTCAAATATATTTCATGAATAGAGTGTACATTTTTAAAATTATTATGTAAAATTTGCCTTATCAGATGTAAAATTCATATAAAGGTCACAATAAAACAGAGGGTTAGTATTGGCTGCATCACTGAAAGATCTGTTCTGGTCCATTTTGATTCTGCAGTCTTTTCTTAGTGTTAATTTTATTCTTGTTACTCTGCCCTAAAAGGTGCCAGTAACATGATTTAATTCCAATTTTTTTGACTAAACTAAGTTCATGAAACTTGTTATAAAATTAAGCTCATTATCAAAATATACTGTAAAGAATTTTTAAGTCAGTGCTGTAGCCTATACTGAAAGCTCTTCAGAATTTCATCACAGAAGTTTTATTTAGTATTTTATAATATTGGCGAAAGAACGAATTTACTTTAAATATTGGTGTAGTTTCTATTGAAATGGTGAACAAACTACTTAATAAGAGATGAAGAAAGATTCATGATTGCACAGTTAGTCATATCGGATATGGATTGCCTTTGATATTTCAATTCTTAATATGCCTGCTTACATGTTGAAATTTACCTCTCTGCAGCTTTGAGAGAATGGCAGCTGTCTGTTTTATCCATATGGAAACATGTTCAGGTCTTAAAAACTGAGACTTTGGTGCAAATGCTTGTTAGTATTAGCTTTAAATAGGTCACAACAATTTCATCCCGCTTCATTCCAGTTCATTACATAGTCTTCCTCTGAACTCATTTGACACTATATATACATATACAATATCACCCTACAGTTCATGCAGTGTTAAATAATCTTTAACTATAATACTCAGTTAAAGTAAAATTGTGTCTGTCTTAGTGAAGCAACACACTGTAAAGGTGGATGTGGACTGGGGGTTTAGCTCTGCAAATTCTTGACCTTAGAGCTAGCTGAATGAAAGTGGTTATTAGCCTCACATTCCAGATGCTTTGCCCTCCCCCCACCCGAAGGAAAGTGGCGACATGTATAAAGTAAATAATACAAGTTTTAGCAATAAGACTTTGTACTAAAGTGGAATCAGCACTGCTTCTACTCCCACATAAGATATTCTAGCAATTATTGCAGCATTGCTAGAAATAAAAGTAGTCATTGAATAATGCTCATATACTGTAGCTGTTGGACTTCAATAATGTTCTAAACAGCCTGATTGTAAATTCAATGATATTTATTTTAGTGTTGCTGCATTCTGCTGAGTGTGCAATAGAGTCCTGTTACATGACTCCTGTGTAACTTGGATGTAAACATTTTTTGTCTGAGGTTTTTCCCACTGTGGCTTCAACACCATTACCTCAAACCCAAGAGAAGTTTTATTTCCATTGTATTTTCTGACTTAAATGTGTAATTTTCCTCCCTCTATTCTGTTGTAATAGTTTTTACTAAATAATATACATTGCAACTGATTAATTCCTTTGACACAGTTTTCATTTAATTTATTCTTAAACATGTATGTAATCGTGGTAAATTTGATATTTAATGACTAACATGAATTTTGGTGCTGGTGAGTTTTGATATTTGTATCTTAATAATGTGGGAGAATTGAGAATTGTTGTAGTTTTTATAAATTACAATTATTGGGCAGAAATCATAAAATGCTTACATTTTGTAATTGACAAAAAGAAAATGGTATACAGAACTTTTTATGTAAGGTGATGATGTAAGAATCTTCTTGTTTACACTTTTTATAACTATTTTGTTGGAAAGAAAATAGAAGATTGTGCTTTATTTGCAGCAACTTTATTTCTGAGCTTATTTGCAATAATCAGTGGAGTTGTACTGATTTTTGAGTGACTTGTAGATGTTTATGTGAGGTTTCAAAAGTTTGATGCCAGAGTTTAAAACAGTACTTGTTGAAAATACACCCACATACTGTATTGTGGTAATCAACCAGATTAGTATGTGTCCAAGTTCAGCTTACAATTTTTATGTCATGGAATAAATAGGCATGTTTAGCATAGGCTAAAAGTATGCAAGTTTTGCTCTGTTATGCAAGGAGTTAACCCTTTAAAGAATAGCAGATAGCAGTGTATTTATGGGTATCTTATAATTCTCACAAAAAGTGTTTATTATTTTGCTAAGCAGAATTAATTGATTGGTCTCTGTAATAGAGATGCATTTTATTTTCTGTGACGGGGGTGGGACTAAGTTCTTAAATATTTAGATGAATTTTAGGCTTCAAAGGGTGAATTTGGTAAGTAGTTTGAATGTACTTCAAAAACTGCGATTGCTCTTTATGTGAAATATCTTGTGTGAACTAGTTGTAAGGATTGAACTGTCATAAAATTGATGTTTTCTTGGTTGTTATAGTATTTTTCCCATAGTGAACCAGTCACTGTTCTTGACTGTGGGATTTAATTGAATTATTCCTTTGGGTGGAAGCACACTAATCTAGTGATAATTATATGTAGAAGAATGTCTGTGTTAATGTAGAAAGCAAGCATTTGAAGCGTAAAGATTACTACAACTTGAAGTGGATGTGTGTTATGTGTGTATTTCATATATAGTTTTTATTTATGGTGTGTTTAATCATGTTGTCAGGAACTCAGACTCTGTGGTGTCAAGCTGTTGTAGCCTAATTTGAGGTACAGTATAGACATTTACCTAGAGAGAGTGAGGAAGGCTGTGAGAATTCTGACAGGATAGCCAGTCTTTGGGCTGAAATTTGAACCTGGGACCCAATTTATGAAGCAGGAATGCTAACCAGTTGACTCTGAAGTTTGGCATAATTTCTGTGTAGTTTTGACTCATGCTAATCTGGTTCTAAGTCTTTTCTTGCCAGTATGTCATAATCATGATTAAACTGAATAACAAGATATTATTAGTTGCTTTATGTTAGCAAGATGAAGGTGTATTAAATGCTGAAGTAATGCCCTTAAACTGCTGATATTAATTAATAATTTTATGATATCTGATTTATTATGGTCATGATTATAGTGAGGGAACCCTTTCTAATTTCTGTTTTGTCAGTTTTATGTTATAACAGAAATGAGTAGATTGACAATTGGAGGGACTGATTGAATTGTTCACATGCATATATACACTGTGCGTCTCCTATCACACAATGAGGGACTCATGCACTGTTAAAAGTGAAGCCACTGTTGAAGTTTGGTCAAAAGTTGGGCTTTTAGTATTCTCAGTTTCCTCTTATGTTGTCAGTATATGTATATTTAATTTTGATTCAAGCCTGTATTTATATTTAAAGGTTAAACAGTTTCTAAAGTGCCCCATATCCTCTCAGAATTACTGGGTTACTCTTTCTGAGGGACTCAACAGAGTAGGTGTCTTCCACTCACCTGAGGATGGAAACAGATTCAGTTTCCAAACTGTTGTGTTCTCTAGTTTTTAGAATATTGGATGATGGACGAAGTCAAAAATGCTGTAATTCCGAGTGTTATATACCATTGTCAGAACCCTTTAAAATCTGCATCTCTTTTGTGTTTGAAAGTGTTACACATGACATATGTAACATTGACAAAAGAAAAGTCTGTGTGACAAGGTTAAATCGGCAAATGCTGGAACTGATTTTCATATTTGAGATTGGTTTACAATAAAATATTCTGATAAAAGGGTGATCTTATCAGATGAGACATGTTAATTTGACAGAACATAAAGTGTGTACTTATTTAATGTATTTGAAGTATATATATATATAAAGTATAACTGTTTATATTTTATTTATGAGGTGGGAAGGAGGTGGGGTGGTCTTAGTCTTGCCTTGTTTTCCATACAAAAACGTCTTGTACTGTCTCAGTGGATGGGTGCCAGTTTCTGCAAGTAATATTTATGGTATCATCACCACCATAATTCATGAATATTTCTATTCGGTGTTTACTAGCACAGCATAAAGACACTGAAATTTTGTGAGGTACAGCCATGCAAATGGTGCATGTATGTTGCATTGAATAAAATATAGGAACTTGTGTGATTATTAGTAACACTACTACTATACTACCATTATCTCTGCTACTGGCTTAGCTGCTAGGCCAGCCCCCTTTTTTGTGCACTATGCTAGAGGCTGGTTGATGGTATTTCACAGCAAAAAAAAAATGAGTAACAAATAATCTACATGCATCCATGGGATTGCAGTGGGTAGCTGCATACATCAAATAGCAACAGAGGAAAACTATATTGTCAAAGTGTATTCTTAAAGAGAAATATTTTGTTTTGTTATTGATTTGACCTTGGTCAGATATGGTAATCTGGTCTCACCACCAGCAATGACCAGGAGAATGGAAGGATTAAGTATCGATGTCATGTTATATGTTATGTGATAAATACAGGTGGACATGTGCATGTGTTCATATTTGTTGGGTTGGCTTTTGGTTATACAAGATCCAAACACTGTACCATCTCTTAACTTTTTAATGTTCAAGTATTTTTGCATTGTCCATTCTGTAAGTGTGCAGACATAAGTGTTTGTCTTGCTCATGTTATATTGTCAACATGATGGTGTTCTGGTATGTTGGCTTGGTTGAAAAGACTGATATGTTTCTGTGGTATGAGTGTAGTGGGAGATGTAAGAATTTATGATGTGTAAATTGTATAAATATCTCATAATTAATCATTGACCAATAATGTATTACATGTGTATTATCATTGCAAATACTTATTTTTGAGAGATGTGCAAATTATTTACATTTCCATATACTTCACATGATATTTATATAATGTATAAATATATGACTGACTTATGACCCTAGGTATGTATCTTCTGTTCAGCTGATATTATACAGGTATGAAATTATGTTAAATTGCAGTTTGTTCATAAGTCATGAAGACGTCTTTTTTTTCACTCCAGGTATAGGACAACTTTCTTTATTCCATGAGAAGACCTGTGTACATGTGTGCCCCTCCTCCCCTGTAATAACATTAGGACCAATTAGCCTATTTCCAGGAAACTGGGAATACAGGTCTTGTCATTGAATGCTGCACCATTGATCATCCCTTTTAAATATCAACTTCAGATGGATTTCGTTATGAATTATTGAGGTGGGAGAAACATCCGTAATCCGTTAATTATTTGTCATGGAACCCTGGACACGTGACGATATGATACTGAAATACTGTGTAGTAATATATTTTAGAAAATATGCAGATTTAAATGCTGATCATTTTTTTTGACCATTCAAAATATAATTTTCTGTTGTTTTCCATGATGAGCTGTGAAATGTTGGGTAAAGGAGTATGTTTCCAGACACATTTTCCTATTTTGTGAGAGTCTGAATGCTTCTCCATTTGAATTAGCAATTGAACTTTTAAACTAATTGTGGCTGCTGATTAGCGTTAGTTGTGCCAGTTTTCCTTCTAATGTTTTAAATTGTAATGCATTATTACAGGTGTAATTGATTTCTGAACATGAAGGAGAGGATCTGTATTGAGATTTGCACTTAGATGAAAGGAAGTTGGTGATCTAGTGGTAACATGTTTGTCTTCAAGACTAACAGGATCCAAAATTGAGGTTTTGCAAACCTACCATATTTGCTACTTAGAAAGCGTACAAATATGTGAATATGGGACATATTTGGCCCTTGCTGTGATTTGGAGTCCACGTTTTGTTGCAGGTCCTCTCTTGTTATACCATTAGGAGTTAACAATGGATGTTGGCACTGCAGAAGAGATTCCTTCATCTTTTGCAGGTGGGCAGAGGACAGAAATGTCAAAGGACCATAACTGATGGTTCAGAAATAGTTTTAGGTGCTCTCTTTAGATAATTTAGAGATAATGAAGTATCTTTTGAAGACTCATCATATGAGAAATATGCATGCAATAAAATATTAATCTTATTTTTGTGTACAACATTTTGAACGTTTTTATTTAAGTAAATGATAATTAAATTGGATAGACATATGTAATAATCCAAAAGGTATAGTGATAAGCCTAATTGCCCAACCAAAATGAAATGCGATATGTTTTGAGCTCACTTTTTGCCATACTTCAATCCATTCTTAAAACTTTCATAATGTGGGATCTAGATTCAAGCAGTAGGTTTTACATATGTTGGTGGTGATTATTATTATTATTATTATTAATAAAAGGTAGGAGGAAGCAGGACAGCCTCGGTATAGTGACTAGGCAAGGGACTCAACGACCAAGGAATCGGGGTTCGATTCCCGGCGGGAACAAGGTATTTTTTCTTTTCATCACTTTCAGGCCGGCCCTGGGACACACCCAGCGTCCTATACAACAGGTACTGGAGATGAAGCAGCTGGCAATTGAAGCTGACCACAAATAATCATCCAGTGCTGAGGTTAAGAACTGTGGAATTATACCTCCACCCCTCCATACGTTTTAAGGGCGCAGTGCTCTATTAAGTATCGATGTTTTGCCTTGAAAGGCAGAAATTCGTTCAGAGAGAGTAACAGCTAATGAAATCTGGGAATGCATGCGACCTTTCAGGTCAGAACCACGTGCTTCCATCTGATATCTAAAAAATGTAAAATTGAAATATACGGAACAACAATTTTGCTGTTATTTCATATGGATGAGAAGCTTTTGTTTCTGGCACTATGGAGAACGGACGGTGACGAAAGTTATAATAAGTGTTCCGGAGGAGGTTTGTGAGTGAATGGGTTGTGAATTTATGGTTTTGTGTATGAAAATTTAGAATATACAACTCTAAGTACAGTAAACTCGGTAAATTCGTGATTTCTTGACGATCAAGGAATTCGCTGAGTAAGAGAAACTGTTAAATTCCACTGATAGTTGGCGAATAGGTTTGTCGTTCCGCTGAGGCATGCTTATTTCTACCAGTTGTCTGAGAAACACTGCTGTATGTTTTACAAAAAGATGAAAGAAGTGCTTTATTGTGTCACATTTATATTGAATTGGAAATCACCTTTGTAAATATAAGTTTCTAGCTAGGAAGATAGAAGTCATAATAGATGGGACAGTAGATATCATGGAGGTACGTTTTACAGGTTAAGTCTGAGGTTTTTGATGGTAAATCTCTAGGTTTTGTGGTAATATTTTTGGCTTTAAAGGTATTTCGGCATTATTTAAGTGAGCTTTGCTATTTGTATTTAACCAGGAATAATAGTTCATTTAACTTTCATAAACGGAGGCGATGATACCGAATTGAACACCATCCAGGGTAGCCAATTCATGAGGTTGTATTGTCTGCTAAGTCATTCCTATTCTTACAAAGGGAAATAATAACAGTAAAAATTCAGCCTACACATTACTAGTAAGTCCGATTCTTGAATACGGGGTAGCGTGCTAGGATCATTATAGGAAGGGACAGATAAATGCGCTAGACTGGGTGCAAAAAAAATAGCGCCTTAATTTGCATATCATAGAAATGATTCAAACTGGGAAACTTGACACAGCGCAGAAAGATAGCTCGCATATATCCTGTCTTCAAGGCGTACACGGGAGAACGATTTGGAAGGCTATAGGTGGCTACAGGTGATAGTTTACAAAGACCATGCTATCTGAGCAGGGTCGATCATCATGGGAAAATTAGGAGCAGAAAGCAAAAGACAGATATTGGAAAATATTCCTTTGTAAATAGGTCCATCCAGCTCTGGAACCAACTACCTGCAGATGCTTTAGGGACTCTCCTGTAAACCAAGTAATTTTAGGAAAAGGGTTAAGAAAGTGATAAATAAGGCGAAGTGAAGGTGTGGGGGAAATCATCTAAAAATGAAGTGAAGTGAAGTGAAGTGAAGTGAAGTGAAGTGAAAAGAAGTAAATTGTGAGGGTGTGAAGGGTGCGTAAGTGTGGTGAAGTGGATTGAAGGGAATGCTGAAATGTGAGTGCATCAGTTCATGACATTATATATTTCATTGTTGTTGCTGTTTTGTGTATAGTATGCTTATTTTTCATTAATATTAATTTATGTAATTGTAGTTGTAATTGTATTTGTTGTAGTTGCAAGTTATTTTATTGTATTCATTGTGTGTAGCGTGTCCTTTGACGTTTGTGTAGTTTTGTTTGCTGTGTTACTTTGTGTGATGTGTGTTATTTGTACGTTGTGGCTTATTGTACTCGTAGTACCATTGTCACCAGGTAGAAACCCATTTGCAGCTAAAATAATAATAATTTCAATTTGCCGCATGAGGGAAGAGTGTGTCTCTTCGGTCTATCGTTACTTCAAATCAGTAGGATGAAGGAAAGACTAAAGTAGGGACAAAAGGAAAAGTGTGGCAGTACCAATCTCCAAGATGCCCTAAAGCATATCCAGAATTACAAGTGGATGGCCTGCAGATGAGCAAGGTGTGTGATATTTCTTTGTGAACACAGAAAATTTATGCTGATAAATATTAGAGCCACGCAGACAGTGAAGAAAGTAAACTTACGTTTTGCCAAGTAATTAACCACAAGAGGTTGTGTCCGATTGCACTCTCACAAGATGCCAAATTGCAGTTGGTAGAATGAATTGTAAGAATGCAGGAGGTAGATACTGATTTGAATGCCAGTTCCATTGGTCATTTTGTTCTGATTGGTGGAGAACTTGCCCTTCAGTAGATTGAGGAACCTGGCTGGATGGTATTGGTGGGTAGCATTCTGAGATAGATATGATTCGACTGAATTTTCGTGAGAACTTTATGCAGAGGGCTTCACTAGGCAGTCAAGACACGAGATGAATTTAATAAACTGTATAAGCTTTCATGCGAATCAGAGATGCATGGCTCATAAGACTGACAATCCTACTGCCATCTGTGAGCCGATTGTGTATAGAAAATGTGGGAGCCTCGACGTCTCGCAACCCTATGGGCCTTCGCGTTCTATTACAAGGATAGCTTCACCTCTTTTAACCAGAGCCTTCTGATGAGCAAGTACTTAGGGAGAAACAATCTAAGGCCAGTAAGATCCGAAAGCTTAACAAATATGAGAGGGGGTTGGGGAAGTTGTGGTAAGAGTTATAATGAAGAAGAGAGGAATAAAAATTGAGCCTCTGAAATAAAATATAATTCCTAGAAAATGTAGTACTATTGTAGGCGCCAGGTGGGTGATAAAAACAAGACAGTGTTCATATACAAGGTGTGTCCCAAAAGTCATGAAAGTGCCCACAACTTCGCTAGTAGTTGAATATAAAAGTTGTAATTTTAACTTCAAGTTACTATAGAATAGTGCATTATTTGCTATGAATTTCAAAATTTTCGGAGCTTCTTCACCGGAGATATGAGATGTTAAAAATGGCCGATTTGGGGCCCAGAGCAAAGTTTGAAAACTCCTGGAAAATTCCGGAAACTAGGTACGGGGTTCAACCTATGTGATTATATTCCCCATGTAGGAAACAACAAAGGGTGGAAACCACAAATTTGATACTTTCCCCCTCCCATTGGTTTTTGAAGGTGAAAAATAGCGTTTTTCTCAAAATCGATAGGTAAGTTTCGAGCTTAATTAGACCTAGAGGAAGTGAGTTGAGTGCAACCTTATAATCATATGATTTATAGTCCATATCATGGAACAAATTGGTTTCTTATTGGTGTCCCTAGCTTCAATAGTTATCGAGATACGGGAGTTAACGCAAACCTCCATTTCAGGCGAAAACGCGTTTCTTCGCATTATAAGAACTTCGCTATTAGTTGAATATCAAAGTTGGAATTTTAACTCCATGTTACTCTGGAATAGAGCATTATTTGCTATGAGTTTAACAATTTTCGGAGCTTCCCCACCGGAGATATGAGACGTTAAAAATGGCCGATTTTGGGCCCAGAGAAAAGTTTGGAAGCTCCTGGAAAATTTTGGAAAATAGGTACGGTGTTCAAAACTATGTCATTATATTCTTCATGTAGGAGA